AACATTGTCTCTTATAGACCTTTTTGCAAATTTAACATTGACTTCCCTCGGAAGCTTATGTTTCCTGACATAACTTGAATTCACTCTATAAACAAGGTCAATGTTTATGTCCACCTCTTCGTTTTCCAGATCCAACGCCTCTGCCAGCATAGTAATTATTAATTCCCTTAGGTCCTCATTCTTTCCTTCAGGTATGTTCTGGAATCTCAGATAATTAGATGCCTTCTCCATCTCTAATATAGCAAGTGAATCCCATAATGACTTGCTTGTTCGTTTTATTAATTGTGTTTCTTTGTCTACTGTTTCAATTTTTTAATGTGCTTGTTGTATTTTTTGTGTATTCTGTTCAGTTTTAAGTTGAACATCTGCCAGTTGAGCTGATACATCCTTAACAGAGCTATCCAGTTTGTCAAGACGTTCTCTTTGTTCATTTGCGAAGTTTTTCTGCTCAGCTGACATGTTCCTCTGTTCTGCTAATATATTCCTCTGTTCTAAGCTTAATTTTGATATAGCATTTTGCATAGCCTCTTGGGATGCTTGCATAGCTGTTAAAGATGTTTGTATTGCCAAAAGAGTCATTTGTAGATCTTTTTGGTATTTTTTGGCATCTGAGGCTTTAGACTGGTTAGTTGGACTCTGAGCAGCTGATGTAGGTGCCAAAGAGGAGGAAGAGTGTGTTTTTTTCATAGTGATGGTAGTTTTTTGCTAGTAATTGCAAGGTAGCAACAAAAAAAGAGAAAGAGAAGAAAAAAGAAATCTTCAAGAGAAAAGAGGAAGGAGACTTGTTATAAATCCAATAGCCACAGGATGGCAGCAAAGAGTTATTTTGCCTTTATGTGACGTCATGAATAAAGGTAAAGAGAAAATGTCCGCTCCAAAGATAAATAGAAAGTTTTTCTATCACTTAATCCACAATAGTTTTTTATTCTGATTCTTCGCCCTTGGGGAGGTTAGAAAAAAGAAATCTTTCTTTCCAGCCTGACATTTTCCAAATCTCAGTTCCTCTCCCCTAGAATAGTCGCTGCTTAAACTCCGCGGGGGGGGGGATTCCTCCCTCCATCAAGGAGGCTTTTCTTTCTTCTTTGTCCCAATTAGTATCTGCTTCAGTTCTTTCACGGGTAATATTGGAAAGGTGGAAATGCTCACCCAGCAGGTCGGATGAAGTTCAAGCTGTTATTCTATGCTATATCCGGTCATCTGTGGCTTGCAGGGAGCGGATCTCTCCCCTGTGTTGTTCGATTGAGAAATTCCCGAGTTTCTCCCAGTAAATGTGGAGCCGCCGCCCCACATTGCCCAGAAGTATGCTTGGGCTTCTATTCCCAGGGTCAGGGATATCTTTATGAAAGGATGTTTAGGGGACAGGCCCATCATGGTGGCTTCCATTTATGCCCTAGATTCATGGTGGAGCAGTTTTTGGGAGAAATACTTGCAAAATTAGTCTCTCTTAAAAGAGGAACCATGATTTCAGGGGATTTGTCTATTTGTGACAAACAGATATGAAGAAAGAAGAGGAAGGGGAATAAAGTCTTGCCCACAGCTGGGCTTTTACCAAAGTACATCTCTACTGATGCAAGGAAGTCTGGGTACTGATGTACCCTTCTGCCCAACAGACTCCCTCCCTGTGCTGGCGAAGATCATCTCGGACCTGGTGTTGAGGACCCCCAGGATATTGTTCCTGGGGGACTTCAATCTCCATGCCGTGGCTGGTTTGTCCAGGGCAGCTCAGGACTTCATGGCCACCATGACAGCCATGGGACTGTCTTAACATGTCATTGGCCCAATGCATGAAAAAGACCACACTCTGAACCTGGTTTTCTTGATGGGGCAAGAAGATGGTGATCTGGAAGGGAGGGATTTGACTTTTACCCCTTTGTCATGGTCAGATCATTTCCTCATGAGGTTTGCGCTTGGGGCCAGTTTCCCCCTCTATAAGGGTGCAGACCCTATTAAGGTGGTCTGTCCCTGGAATCTAATGGATCCTGATGGTTTCCTGAAGGCTTTGGGGGATTTTCTAATTGATAGAGCTAGTGCTCCTGTCAATGCTCTGGTTGATTTGTGGAATGGCGTAATGGCCAGGGCAATTGACATGATCGCTCCTAAGTGTCCTCTCCCACCATGCATAGCCTGCTCAGCACCATGGTATACACCTGAGTTGCAGGCCATGAAGCAAGCTGGGAGATGTCTAGAGCGCAGGTGGAGAAAATCCCGGGATCGAACACACTTAAGAGCTCATTATCAAGCCTGTACTGAGGCAGTGAGGGTGGCAAAGAAGAAATTCTCCACTTCCATTGCATTCTCACAGTGCCATCCAGTGGAGCTCTTTCAGGTGGTGCAGGGCCTTTTACACCTTGGTCCCAAAAAGAACCCTATTGCACCATCTATAGCCCACTGTGATGACTCTGCCCAGCACTTTAGGGATAAAATCACTCAGATTCGCCACGAGCTGAACTCCACAATTGATTTGCCTCTGGTCCAGGAGGCGTCCAGAGCCCTGTCTGGTCCACTTTTATTGGATAAGTTTCAATTGTTGCGGCCTGAGGATGTGGACAAGGTGCTTGGACTAGTCCATTCCACTACTTGTCTGCTCGACCCTTGCCCCTCATGGCTGCTTGTCAGTGCCAAGAGAGGGATATGTACCTGGGTCCTGGAAGTCTTCAATGCCTCTCTGAGGGAGGGCCCAGTCCCTGCCCCTTTGAAGGAGGCAGTGATCAGGCTGGTCCTGAAGAAGGCGTCCCTGGACCCAGAAATAGCCGCCAATTATAGACGCGTGGCTAACATCCCATTCCTGGGCAAGGTGCTTGAGAGACTGGTGGCTAGACAGCGCTAGGCACTTTTGGAGGAAACTGACCATCTGTACCCATTTCAATCTGGCTTCAGGCCTGGTTATGTAGCAGGGACTGCCATGGTTGCCCTGTATGATGACCTGTGCAGGGAGAAGGACAGGGGAGTGTGTTTCTCCTGGACCTCTCAGTGGCTTTTGATCTCATCGACCATGGTATCCTTCTGGATAGGCTGGCCAGCTTGGAAGTTGGAGGCACTGCTTTGCAGTGGTTCCACTCCTACCTGTCTGGCCAATTCCAGAAGGTGGTGCTGGGGGAGTGTGGCTCTGCCCAGGGTTCCATATTATCCCCCATGCTATTTATCATCTACATGAAACCACTGGGAGAGGTCATCCAAGGTTTTGGGCTGCAGAGGCATCAGTATGCTGATGACACCCAGTTCTACCTTTCTTTCACATTCAGTCCAGGTGTGGCAGTATTGGTCCTTAATCGGTGTCAGGCTGGGGTATTGGGCTGGATGAGGGCCAATAAATTGAGGCTTATTCCAGACAAGACGGAGGTCCTTTTGGTAGGTGGTTCAGCCTTCCAGGTGAGGGATTTTTGCCCTGTTCTGGACAGGGTTGCACTCCCCCTAAAGGACAGGGTATGCAGCTTGGGAGTGCTCCTTGACCCTGACCTGTCCCTGGAGCATCAGGTACTGGCAGTGGTGAGGAGTGCTTTCTTTCAGCTTTGGCTGATACATCAGCTGTGTCTTTACCTGGATGAGCAATGCCTGGCAACAGTGACCCATGCTCTGGCAACTTCCTGTTTGGTCTATTGCAATGCACTCTATGTGGGGTTACCCTTAAGATGGTCCGGATACTTCAATTGGTCCAGAATTGAATTGCCAGTTACTAACTGGGACTGGCAGATATTCCCATATCACGCCAGTCCTATATTGCTTACACTGGCTGCCAATTGAAGTCCAAGCCAAATTTAAGGTGTTGGTAATAACCTATAAGGCCCTAAATGGCTTGGGTCCTGAATACCTGAAAGAGCACCTTCTTCCCTAGGTACCGGCCCACCCCTTGAGATCAGAGGCAGAGGCCTTTCTCCAGGAACCCTCCTTGAAGGAAATCAGTAGGGCAGTTACTCAGAGATGGGCCTTTTCAGCGGTGGCACCCTGACTATGGAATTCGCTCCCCAGGGCGGTTTGCCTGGCAGCATCGCTCTATTCCTTTTGGCGCCAGGCAAATACCTTTTAATTTTCCCAGTATTTTAATAATTAATCTGGTTTTATTCTTGTTTTCATTCCTATTTTAGATGCAGTGCACTTTTTTTGATCCTTGTTATGGGTTCTGTTTTTTGGTTTGCTCTCTGTAAGCCACCCAGAGACTTTTTTAGTAATTGGGATGGCATAAAAAAACCTTAAATAAATAAATATAGTCTGATAATTCCAGAGTTAATGATTTCATATATTATTCTTTCACTCAAGAATCTTATTTACACAGATTTTACGTATATGGAACAGAAGATTGCAGTGATCATGTGAGCAGACATAGGTCCCACAGAAATCTTGGACCATGTGTCTATCACAAATACTATGCAAGCTAGACAGGTGACAATTCAATGCAGAAAGTACAGGCATTTACAGGTAATGACCTTATTGCCAGTTGTAATTTACTGTGCAGCTGTTGCTGATAACAAACATTGTGGCACTAGGTCAGCCAATCACTAGTATATATGTAATGTGATGAGAATCCACGACCTGATACAAATGTGTGATGACAGAATTAAACCTGTTGTTGAATTCTAACTTAGCAGTCAGACTCTGCAATGTGGAGCTCCAGTCCATGTAGTGCAGTCACCATACAGCTTAAGCTGGGTAGGCATTATGAGAACTTTAGAAAAGTGCCACAATCTCCTTGTAGGAGTAAGTCCTACTCTAAGCACTCTCCCATACTTATATCTTTCTCATTGTAAAATTTCAGGAGCTTGACATGTTGTCTTGGATTAGCAAGGTCTGACTTTATTGGTAGTCCAGTATTCTCTTGCTTTGGTTGGAGTTAGAGGGGGTCTGTCTTCACCAAAAGGTTTAAGTTGGCCAGAGAGAAAATCCTGCATCTTCTAGGAATAATAGAAGTCTCCTAACTTCTGTACTCCATGAAGGTCACTTTGGGCACATTTCCATCCTTTGTCGATGTTTAAAATGTTCTTAAAAGCATTTTTTCTTCTTCCCAGTATACTGGCTGGCAGGAGCTGAAGTTTGTTTCACCATCTGTGCCTCTTTGTTCCTGCTCCCCTTCATTTTGCTTCAATACATTCCTGAGCAAATGAAAGAGGAATAAGCAACTATGATTTTTCAAGGAACTTAGAAATAATGCCAAAATGGATGGCAAGGAAATCTTTTTAATGAACAATTGCTTTGTAAATTCATATTGTCCTGATATTATAGAAAACTGTCTTTCAGTATATAGTGTCTTCAGTATTGTCCCAAATAGGACTGTGTACTTATGTATGTTTTGGGCACACAATCAAACTGATGGAAGAAAGAAACATTTTTATTCAGTGAAAACAAATGCCAACAGCTAAGTGCTAGTTCTACTGCAGAGTGACTGTGTGTGTGTGTGTGTTTTGGGGAAGGAAGGAAGGACAGGCAGATGTCCTATTCTGGTGTTTCTCTGAAAGTGGGAAGGCTTCAGTCCACATATGTGAGGATAGGGCCATATGTGCTCATCATTCAGCTAAATACCTGAACAGGACTAAACAGAAAAAGCAACTGCCCAATTATGGACTATTAAGTAATTATGACCATAAAATGTCAGTCTGATTTTAATAATTTGCAAAGGGGGAATAGTTTTAGCCTTAAATCAAAGTCTAAGGTTTCAAGCCAGGTGCACAAGTATGTTCTACAGTTAACTATGAGGGTTGTGAAGGTCATCTTTTCTGTCCCATGCTTTAACGCTTACATGGAAACACAGATCTTAGTCTTTAATTGCAGTAGATCAGGATACCCAGACCAACTTCTGAGACCTGCATGGTAAAAATTGAACCATTGCAGCCTTCATGAATCAAATCAAATAGCACAGCATTGACCAAAGGCATGCTGTTTAGTTCAAGAAACAGACCCAGGATTTCACATAGCAGCAAAGTTTAAACTTCAAATCTAGTAAGATAGTTCAGATCTTGGATTATATGATACAGGATTCAAGCAGACAAGGATCCAAGATTAGGAATGTGTCCAAGCAAGAAAGTCTTTTAGCTGGCTTAAGATAAAGGCCGGGTTCATGTGTCATGACTCAATCTTGCTAGGTTTCCACCTTGTGCATTTTTTTGTGTGGATATGCTTGAAAAATGATTAGGCTCACCTTGGTAACTGTCCTCCCAGTCATGATTGTGAGTAGCAATGGGTCACTCTTGCCAACTGACTCTATGGGTCTAGCCTCAGTACCACAATGAGTTGTGTTTTCCAGTTCAGAAGATACAACAAGTCATTATGGTACAAAGAAAGCATTGTTTCTGTTTGTGGTTTCTCAAAGCCGAATGCACCATGCTGATACACCACTAAAGGATTCAGACCACACAACAGATCAACAGAAGTAAAACATCCCCCCCACCCACAAGAACCAAGTAAGGGCTCCTTGGGAATGGAAGGGTTAACTCTGGGCAGGCAGGCCAGCCCAGCCATCTCAGCCAGGTGGTGATTCAAGGAAAACCAGGCACCAAGGCTGTAGGAGGCTTGTTATCAATGGGAATACAAAAAGTCCTAAGTTTCTTCCAAGGACAAAGCCATTCACGCACACACACACCAATGCCAGAAATTGTTGGCCTGAAGGGTACGTGATTCTCACCTGGGTGCTGTCAGGAGATGTCATCTCATGAGTCATCTGTTTGATCTAAGCGGATAAAAGCAAGGAGCTGAGGGAGATTGGAGTTCCTCTTTGCAGAGAGGTTCCTTGTTGCTGCCAGAGGCTCTGTCGAGAAACACTGCTCTATTCTACCTGAAAAAAGGCTATGTTGAGCACTGTATATTGCGTTATTGGCAGAAACAACTAGCTTTATTATTTTTTCTGTCCAAGGAGGCCAATAGGCCTGGGGTTCTTGGGAGGAGCTAATTGGTGTGAGTCCATTAAAATTGCTGCACTCCAATTCCCTGTGCCCCCACTGTGTGTGTATGTTATATTGTTTTAAAGACCCTCCACAGTTACAATGTTTAATGTCTTTTTAATAAATCTGTTTTTCCTCAAACTTGGGTTGTTGTGTGCTGAATCCAGTGTCTGGCCTCGGGATTCTGAGTTCAGGGAAGTGGGATGGGAAAGTAAACCCTGCCAGAGGCTGATTGTTACAACACAGGGAGGGAGGGAGGGAGGGTTGTTTAAAATTCCATGTAATTAAAGATGAGGCTACATGATTCATGGCAGACATTAATTCATGGAAAATCAAGTAAGTGTTTTGAGCATTTTAGATAATTAACAGTCCAGGGAAGAGGACTGCTTTAAAAAAACTTAATTTCTTGATAAGAAAATTTAGCTCATAAGTGGACACTATATTCAAATGGCATTGTAACCTTGGTGACACCCTTCAGGCTTCTTCCCTTTTCAAACTCCTTCCCTTTTCAATTCCTCCCCCTGCTCATCACACAGAAGCTTCAGTCATACCAAGGTCAGTCCTCATCATCCATAAATCTTAGTCTCTTAAGCAAAGATAACAGACATATTTACAGTTGTTAAAGTCTAATTAGAGTTCAAATAGAATGCCCCAATCATCAGGAAACTTTCCATTTCAAAGTCCTTTCCAAATATGCAAACAAAAATGCCTTTAGAGTTTTAATTGCAGCAAGCTGAAGTAATAGTCCTTTGGTTCAAAAAAAATGAATAAAAAGAATTTAAAAAGCAGAAAAGAAAAAAAGGGCTTAGAAAAAAATATTAGGGAAAGCCGACTCTGTAACATGTTTCAGTTGACCTTATCTAGCCATCTCATCATAATTAGACCTATAGAGTGGTAGTCTTCAAGCTCACCTGCCATTTGGAGAGGTAGAAACACTCCCAAAGATTATTTATAAACATCTAAACAAGGTATAGATCACCACAAAGTGCTGCCAGACTGGTTGCAATTCCCCAGCAGTCTCTATAAGACATACATACTTAAGGGTCATTAAAAATCCAAGATAACATTGCAGGCAATTCAGGATATAGTTCAAAAGGAAGTTGCAAACTAAAATACATGCAGAGAGACAGAGAAAGGAAAAGAATACTCCAAAAACAGCATCTATGTCAGAACAAAAATCAAGCCTAAGCATGGTAAGTTCAAGCTAGAGGGAGTGAAGGTACTGAACAGTAAAGACATTCCCTTTTAGGACTTTTCTGGTCCATGTATTTAAGTAGGCAAAGTTTAGGTTTCAAGAAAACAGTAGGCAGGTGGAAATTCCAAGCAGTACAAATAGGACTTTATTTTTAACCTCCCTGGACTCCTAGGATATTAAGTTGACAGACACCTTTGGAGAGGAATCCTATAAGGAAGCACCTGCAATATTAGAAAAATAAAGTGAAAGCTGGTCTGAAAGCATCTGAAAGGAATAAAGCAATCAGAGTAGATAGGGTACCAACTGAACTATTCTAAGCTGCAGAAATAGAATTGGTCCAAATCCTAACACAACTCTGCCAAAAAATACGGAAAACAAAACAGTGTCACACAGACAGATGAGGAATGTTCATTATACATTTTAATCCACAAGAAAGGAGACTCAAAAGAGTGCAGCAGAAGGAATGGTACAATAGCACCATTGCACTAATATCCTGTGCAAGTAAAGTGATGCTCAACATGTTGCAACAAAGAATATTACCCTATATGGAGTGAGAAATGCCTGATGTTCAAGCTGAATTCTGAAAAGGAAGAGGCACTCAAGATCATATTGCAAACATATGTTTGCTACTGGAATACACCAAAAAAATCAGAAAAAGATAGGTCTATACTTTGTAGACTTTAAAGCTTTTGTCTGTGTGAACCACAAGAAGCTATGGATTGGCAGAAGATACATCACTAATTTAGGATATGCAGATAATACCATATTACTGGGATAAAGCAGCAATGAATTGAAATGACTTTTGGTGAAAGAAGAAAGTGCAAAAGAAGGACTACAGCTGAACATCAGGAAAACAACAATGATGACTACCCAAGAATAACACAGTTTTAATATCAACAATAAAGAAGTTGAAATTGTTTTACATATCTTGGCTCAGTCATCGATTCAAAAGAAGACTGTAGCCAAGAAATTTGTTTGTTTGTTTATTTTCAAATTCAAAGATGAATCAGACTTGGAAGGGCAACAATGAAACATAGAAACAGAGTGAGTCAGAAGGGGTCTCTCAGGCCATCTAGTCTGACCCTCGGCTCCAGCCAGATCTGCTCACGGCATGCCCACCATGTGCACATCTAGCCTATCTTTGAACACCCTCACGGATGGGGCCTCAACCACCTCCCATGGAAACCCATTCCATACCCTCAGGGTCCTGTCAGGAAGTACTGTATTTTTCCATCTATAAGACACCCTCATGTATAGGATGCCCTCCACTTTTCTTACCAATCTCCGAGCGAGCAAGCTACTGCTGCATGCGCGCACCACCTCGCTGCCTCTCCGTGCACGCACCCGCACTCATGCCAGTGTCCCCCCCCCCCCCCCCCCTCCCAGCCCCCCCCCCCCACCCAGCGTGCCTGCGGGTCTCCTCTTGGCATCCCATGTATAAGATGCCCCTCCATTTTTAGGTAAACATTTTAAAGAAAAAGTATCATCTTATACACAGAAAAATACGGTGTGACACCCCCTCACATACCTGTATGTTGCCAACAGTTCCCCTCTGAGACTTTTCCAGGCTGAAGAGGCCCAGTTCCCTTAGTCTCACATCATACAGCATCCCCTGCAAACTGACCATCAACCTTGTGGCCCTACGCTGCACTGACTCTAACCTGGCTATACCCCTCCTGTAATGAGGGGCCCAGAATGGAACACAATACTCCAGTTGCGGGCGCACCAGTGGGAGTAATACCTCTCTTGATCTAGAAGCCACACTTCTGGCTATGCAACCAAGGGTGGCATTTGCCCTCTTGAACAGTGCATCACACTGCTGACTCATGTTTAGCCTGCATTCAATCAGTACCTTGAGATTCCTTTCACAAGTGCTGCTTTCCAGACACTTGTCCCAACCTGTACTTCTGACAGCTATTCCTATGCCCCAAGTGCAAGACCTTGCACTTATCCACATTGAAACCCATCCTGTTATCTCCTGCCCATTTCCATAGTCTGTCCAGATCCTTTTGGATCTGGAGTACCTGCTCCTCAGTTGTGGCCACTGCCCCAGTTTTAGTATCGTCTGCTAATTTGTTCAGCAGACTGGTCACCCCTTCTTCCATGTCATTGATGAAAAGATTAAACAGGATTGGCCGCAGGACAGAGCCCTGGGGGACCCCGCTTGTCACTGGCCGCCATCCTGATAATTCCCCACTAACGGTTACCTTCTGCTTTCGGTCAGTCAACCATGCGCTAATCCATCGAACAGTGCTTTGGTCTATCCCAAAACTCCTCAGTTTCTCCATTAGGATATCATGGGACACTTTGTCAAAGGCCTTGCTGAGATCCAGGTAAACCACATCCACCGCATCCCCTCCGTCTAGCCACCTCAAAATCTTGCTCTAGAATTCCACAAGGTTTGTCTGGCAGGACATGTTTTTGCGAAAACCGTGTTGTGTGACCACCAGCCTCCCCTCCCCATCTAGCTTCACTAGATCTCTCGCTATTATGAGCCTTTCCATTGTTTTTCCTACAATGGACGTAAGGCTAACCGGTCTATAATTCCCCATGTCCCTTCTACTACCCTTTTTGAAAATTGGGACCACTGATGCCACACTCCAGTCCTCTGGACCTTCACCCATTCTCCACGAGGCCTCAGAAATGGAGGCCCGCGGGCATGAGAGAACCCCTGCCAACTCTCTAAGTACTCTCTGGTGTAACCTGTCAGGGCCTGGGGCCTTGGTAATATCCAGTGCCCTGAGGAGCCCCTCGACTTCTGAGGGGGGGGTGACTCTAATCTGTGCCCCTAAGTCCCCAGCCTCATCTAATCTCCCATGCGGATCTCCCCCATCCTGCTTTGGGGAGAACACAGAGGCAAAATAGTCATCTAGCAAAATAGTCATTTAGCATGAAAGAAACTAGCAGAAATCATTGTGTAAGGAAATTACACTGCAGAAGACCAAGCTCATCCATACCATTGCATTCCCAACCACTATGTATGGGTGTGAAAGCTGGAGAGTGAAGAAAGCTGACAGGAAGAATTATGGTGCTGAGGAGATGTGTGAATACCCTGGATTGAGCGAGCCCTAGTTCAAATCAAGCCAGTACTTTGCCCGGAAGTAGACATTATTAAATGATGCTGTCATACTTTGTGCTTATATGAGAAGGCAAGACTCACTGGAGAAGACAATCATGCTAGGGAAAGTCAAAGGCAGAAGAAGAAAACCAAATATGAAATGGATTAACTCTATAAAGGAAGCCACAGGACTGTGATCTGAGCAGGACTGTGAAGGACAGGACATTCTGAAGGGCATTCATTCTAGGGTCAGAGATGATTTGATGGCACATGACAACAACAAGAACAGAGATGATCACATTCATGACATGCTGTATGGGGAAGTCATGTGAGTTGAGGGACACATGGGTTCAACCACATAGGGGTGCTATGAGATGGAGGGTGTGAGAGATGTTAATTTCTGCCACCCTAGTTGCATGCACCTAAATTTGGATGCAATCAGCTATATTCTGTGTAGTAGTGCTGAATGTTTTCCTCTCAATCAAAACTCCTTTTGATATTACTAATTTTCCCTTGGAATTTTATAAAAACATCTGCATGCAAGTTTGCCTTATCTAGCATGAAACACAGCTTGTTCTCTGCAATATTGCAAACTATCCCAGGGATGGGTCTGAATAATTAGAACACCAGGAATGTTTAATCAGATTAATCTGAAAGTACACAAGAAGAGTGGGCTAAAGTTTCTTAGCACAAGTAAATGTTTGGTGCCTGGAAGATCTAAAATCCCAAACTACTTGCAGATAAAGGAAGAAACTTTCAGCTAGAATTAATTTTTTAAAATGTTAATTGAGGTTGTATTGCAGATATTCAGGAATGTGCATTCTTTTTAATAGGAAATTTTACACTGTTGAAA